GTGTCCACAATGATATAAAAACCAACTGGCAACATCTGAACCTGATTCCAGTTGACTGGACAGAAGAATCTTGAGTTAGTGTATGTTAAGAGGAAGGATCTGAGTCAAAAATTTAGAGCAAGATCTGTGGACTCCAAACTGTGGTACATGTTCCACAGTTGGGACATATGACAATTCTAGGGTGTGATGTGGATGAACATTCTTTAGCTTAACAGTTACTTATGTTTTAATATTTAATATTTAAAAATCCATGTATTTAACAGGCTGGTTCCAAATAGGGAAAGGAGTACATCAAGGCTGTATATTGTCAACCTGTTTATTTAACTTATCTGCAGAATACATCATGAGAGATGCTGGACTGGAGGAAGCACAAGCTGGAATCAAGATTGCGGGGAGAATTATCAACAACTTCAGATACGCAGATGACACCACCTTTATGGCAGAAAGTGAAGAAGAACTAAAGAGCCTCTTGATGAAAGTGAAAGAGGAGAGTGAAAAAGGTTATCTTATACCTCAACAATCAGAAAACTAAGATCATGGCATCCAGTCCCATCACTTCATGGCAAATAGATGGGGAAACAAAGGAAACAGTGAGAGACTTAATTTTTTGGGGCTCCAAAATCACTGCAGATGGTGACTACAGCCATGAAATTAAGATGCTTACTCCTTGGAAGGAAAGTTATGACCAACCTAGATAGCATATTAAAAAGCAGAGACATTACATATTAATTATTACATTATTATATATATTATATATAACATGTATTACATTACATATTAATATAAATATTACATATGTAATATTTAATATTACATATTAAAAAGCAAGATGCTTGCTCCTTGGAAGAAAAGTTATAACCAACCTAGCCAGCATATTAAAAAGCAGAGACATTACGTTGCCAACAAAGGTCCATCTAGTCAAAGCTATGGTTTTTCCAGTAGTCATGTATGGATGTGAGAGTTGGACCATAAAGAAAGCTAAGCACTGAAGAATGGATGCTTTTGAATTATGTGTTGGAGAAGACTCTTGAGAGTCCCTTGGACAGCAAGGAGATCCAACCAGTCCATCCTAAAGGAAATCAGTCCTGAATAGTCATTGGAAGGACTAATGCTGAAGCTGAAACTCCAATACTTTGGCCACCTGATATGAAGAATTGACTCACTGGAAAAGACCCCAATGCTGGGAAAGATTGAAAGTGGGAGGAGAAGGGGACAACAGAGGATGAGATGGTTGGATGGCATCACTGACTCAATGGACATGAGTTTGAGTAAGCTCTGGGAGTTGGTGACAGACAGGGAGGCCTGGCGTGCTGCAGTCCATAGGGTCGCAAAGAGTTGGATACAACTGAGTGACTGAACTGAACTGAATGTTTTCATGTATATTAGAGAGTAATACATTAAGATAACAAAACTGATATTTTAGAAATTTTATTGAATAGGATGAGGCAATGTAAAGAAGTAAGGTTCTTAAAAACTGATTTAAAGCAATGTATCAAACAAACAACAGTGGAAAAGTTATAAGGTTGTGGCCCAAAGAGTAGATGAAGGATTATGTAAATGATGCCAAGTTTGGGAAGTACTGAGCTAGGCATGGATAAAGGCCTTAAACTGAAAGACATCACTGTATGGAAATATAAGTTTTTCTTTCACAGATTACCTGCAGAGTCTTCACCAGTACTTTGATCCCAAAGTGTAAACTCAGTGACGTGCTTTGATAAAATCTTCCATCTTTACAGAGTGAAGTAAGCCAGAAAGATAAAGACCAATACAGTATACTAAGGCATATATATGGAATTTAGAAAAATGGTAATGATAACCCTATATGTGAAACAGAAAAAGAGACACAGATGTACAGAAGACTTTGGGACTCTGTGGAAGAAGGTGAGGGTGGGATGTTTAGAGAGAACAGCATCAAAACATGTATATTATCAAGGGTGAAACAAATCACCAGCCCAGGTTGGATGCATGAGACAAGTACTCAGGGCTGGTGCACTGGGAAGACCCAGAGGTATCAGGTGGAAAGGGAGGTGGGAGTAGGGATCAGGATGGGGAATACATGTAAATCCATGGCTGATTCATGTCAATGTATGGCAAAAACCACTACAATATTGTAAAGTAATTAGCCTCCAACTAATAAAAATAAATGGAAAAAAAAATCTTAGATCTTTGTTCATAGATCAGACAAAGGGGAGGGTTTGGTGTGTGGCAATAGTACCCTGTCACCTGCTCATGTGACAGTGGTGAGCAGCTGCATTGCAACCTAGGAGGAGTGAGTGCTGGCAGAACCTTTCAGCTCTTGGCCAGTCTTCCTCACCCACTTCTCCTGCAGTGCTTTCCAGGCCAGCCTGAGTATTATTCTAATTTCTCAGGAAACTGGGGGTCCCAAAACAAACTCTAAAAAGTATATTATACATGCACCCCTATATACTTTTCAATGACAATGTTTCTCCCAAGGAAAGGAGGAAAGCTGAGCATCCCACAAGTATCCTCACACACGAGCATGCAGCCCTGTTTCCAGGGAGGGTTTCCTTCTGCTCCCAGGGAAGATCTACTGCTTCACTGTCTTCCTGTCTCGCATCCTCCTGTCCACTGTGTTCAGACAGGGACAGCTTGATCTGCAGCTTAGGCACGTCTGCCTTCACACATCCTTAACTTTCACTCGCTGCCTCGTGTGACAGAATCAATCTTGAGAAGAGATCTAATTGATTTTCTCCTAATCGCCACCTTCTTTCTTACATGCTCTGAGAATATGCTTTAAGACCTGATCCATGTATGGCAAAAACTACTACAATATTGTAAAGTAATTAGCCTCCAACTAATAAAAACAATTGGAAAAAAAAAAAAAAAAAGACCTGATCCATAGCTGATCCTCTGTTCCCATCTAAGCATCAACTTGGCACTTTTTCAAGCTTAGAGGAATTTACCAATATCATTTGATCTGTCCTGAGCCGCAAACGTACACTGCTTAGCACAAAACCTTAGGTGACCGTGGCTGTCCTGGAAATATGAGAAGCTTCTCACCCCACAGCCAGATACTGTGTTCGTGGCAGATGAGGGTGAGGCCAGGCCTGTTGCAAGTATTCTCTGGTACAGACCACAGTGAGAATGTCCCTAGCCAGATACTTAAGGGGAACACAGGCTACTGTTTGAAGGAAAGCCAGTTGCAGTATGAGGTCAAAGCCCTGAAACTGTGCCTATCTGCTGACCCAGGGACTCTTCCAGGAATTCATCTTAAGGAAATAATCATGAATATGAACAGATTCAGCTACAAGGATGATATAGTGGTTTTATTCATAAAAGCAAGGTATCTGAAACAACCCAAGTGGATACACCAAGGTGTGGCCACATTATGGGATACAGCAATCTCTTTAAAAGCAGTGATCCTCCAAGGTAGGGCAGATTTGTTCTCAGGAATAATGATAGAAAGGCTGTTACTTCTGGAAGACAAAGGGATAGAAAACATTTTCTGTAACAAAGAGAAAGATGCCAATCCAAATATAGAATGTCTTCCCTCCTCAAAACCAAGACGATCATTTTTTCTGATTTGTGATTTTACTGTAACTCATAGGGAATATTGTTATTATCACATAATACATAACAGACGTATCATATTTGTATAAATATATAAAACCATACAGACTACATATTAATATATTAAATAAAATATATAATAATTATATAATAATCATAGCACTGTCACACCCCCAGCATTTACAGGGCACCATCTGAAGTGCTTTAATCCTCACAACAAACCTGTGAGACAGAAAACCATTACCCCTGTCTTGCAGAAGAGGAGTCTGAGGCCCTGCAATAGTAGAGAATGGGCCCACGTGACACAGCCAGGGAGCTGTCGAGGAGGGCTCTCACCCAGGCAGCTGTGCCCATGAGCACTTGCAACCACCAGGTTCTCCTGCCTCCCCAGTACACACTTCTCTGTGAGAGCAGCTATCTGCCGACTTACTATTACCTGTTCACTTGCCTACTTCCTTTACTCAATCGTGAGTTCCTTACAGACAAGGTCATGTTTTTATCCTCCTCGGTTCCTACATGTGATTAAACAGTAACTAATGATAACAGCAGCAGCTGTCAGCCGATCACCCTTGCCAAGTCCTGTGTTAGTTGCTTAACTGCATGAGTTTGCTGAATCCCCATCACTTTCCTCTGAGTTAGGTCCTATTAACCCTACTGTACACACGAGTAAACTGAAGCTGAGAGAAAGTAGGAGGCCTGCCCAAATGCTGTCACTGGTACAGAAGCCCAGGTCTGCCTGCCCATGGGGAGTGTTGGGGCCTTCAAACCCCCTCCTCCACCACTGGACTCCCTCATTACAGGAACTGAAGAGAAACCACACTGGAGATCTGAGAGCCCAGTAACCCGATCACTGCAAAGTACTCAGAAATCCAGAAGTGAAAACAAGATTTGATACAGTCATGGTGAGAACCCTCTGCTATTTGGAGCAAGGAGGGTAGTGCTCTCTCATTAATCTATTAATTAATTCCACACACTTAGTAAGTATCTACTGTGCGCCAGGCCTGGAAGAAGTGGAGGGGAAGAAGAAGCAAGCCAAACAAGGTCCCCGAACAGAGAAAGCCCCATTCCAGTGGTACATGTGTCTCGTGCTAATAAGCACAGAATTACAACCTGAGAAAAGGAAGGGAAACTGGTTCCAGTGGAGCCAATAACAAAGGAGGGGCTGAAGAAGCAGTGCCTGAACTAAGCTTTGACTGTGTGACTGGAGGAAAAGAGGCTCAGCTATCTGCCCACAGGAGAGCTGGAAAGTGGATCCTGGACAGTGCGGCTCCTTGCCTTTCATCCTCAGCACCCCTGCTTCCTGTCCTGTCGAGGTTACTCAGCCACAGAACCTGGGAGGGCATGATGGTCAATACACTGTCCTCAAGGTCACAAAAGGCAGCAGCTTACACACAAAGGTAGAGGTAAGTTTCTCAGGGCAGTGGGGAGGCGGCCAAGGTGTTCTTAGGGCACCCTAGGCAGTGACTCACGTTTCTCTGTTGACTGCACAGTGTGGAAGAGTGTCAAGGGCCTCTCGCTGCAGGACGGGGGTTTGGAGTCACTGCTCTTCTTCCGAGACAGGTGCAGTTGGGCATTGGTGAGGGGCGTGTCTGGCACGGTGTTAAATATCTGCAAAATAGTTTCATAAAAAGGTTACACACAATGCGAACCCGGAAGAAAGCACAAGTCCGGACCTGTATGATTAAAAAGTCTAGTGGGGTCTAAGAACCAGCTAGAAAAAGATTGAGAAAGACCACCAGCATCTGCTCAGGACTCTATTGTAAGCATCTCTAGGAACTGGCAGGAAACAGTCTCCTTTGGAAGTACACCCCAAGGGTCAGGAACCATCTACTTCTACTTCCCACCCCTTCTGCTATCATTTTCATGGATTTTCTTTCTGTTGTTCTCTCCAGGGCCAATGGAAAGTAGCCACTGTCTGTAAAAAGTACTCAAATTTTTTTTGATTACCTTTATCCAGAACTGATTAATCAAAATCACTTTCCTGTTCTTCACTGTGCATGGGTCTATTTCCTAGTTCTTAACAACAATTTTCTGAGGATGTTAAACATGCATTTAAATGACATCCCCCAAAGAAACCCAGAACAGGGCATCATTTTCTCGCCCTCAGTCATCTCTAGCTGGACCATCTTTTCTACTTCAGCAGTTTTGTGTTATCTTTGAGCTGAAAAAAAAAAAAAAAAAAAAGGCTGTTTCTCCCAACTCTTGATGACAGAAGTAACATACATACTACAAACAGTTTGGAAAATGTAGAAAAGCTTCAAGAAGCAAAAAGAAAAACTCTCCCAATTCCACTGTTTAGAGATAACCACTGTTAGCAGTTGAATTTTATTTTCACATGAGCTTTTTTGTTTTAAGCTTTCATTGCAAAAAATAAAACAAAACAGGTCCATGGTAAAAAAAAAAAAAAGGTGAGAAGAAAATGACAGATAAAATTCATGACAATGTTGTCTTTTTTCCTACAGATCCAAGTATGACAGAATTATTATAAGAGCCACCACTTACATGGTGCTCACCATGATTACAGTCACCACCCTGCAATATCAGTTCCCTAAGGACCAGTCACTGCATGTGTTTTCCATGTAGCACACTCAGTTCTGTGTGACCCAGAGCATCAGGTACTGTTCTCACCATTTATGATGAAGGACTGAGGCAGAGAGGTTAAACTGCCACAATTACAAATATAATGACAGATGATAACATAGAAAAACTATGTCCCTAGATTTTCTAGATTCCTTTTTAAGAGCATATGATAACAACAACACTAATTCATTCAGCCTGGAAAGATCTTTTGAGCATCTCCTTTCTACCAGCATTCTGGGTACAGCAGTACTTGAGGTCAACATGTTTCCTATGGTTTAGAGAGTCTGCATCTAGCAGCTGTGATTTACTGAGTATCAACCATGTCAGGAACCACCTCAAGTGCTTTGTATGAGTTATCTCACTTAATGTTAAAATACACTTGGAATCCTATTCTTTTTACAGTTTTGTATCCTATATGTTTCTTCTAACATTGTATTGTAACATTTCCCCCTTCATTAAAAAAACTTCAAACCTTATTCTTCTTGGCTGCATAATATACCCACTGTATGACGATATCAACATTTATTGACCCATTCATTGTTACCTCATACTCTGGAGTCTTCTGGATCATCTGTTTCCCAGTAATCACAAGTGATGAGAGGAAAGTGGTGGCACCCCCATGCCCCTCACCTATGGGTGGCCCTAGACACATGAGAATCTTTCCCACGGTTTTCTCCCCTTTGTGCGTGCTTTAAAAAGCAGAACTCAGAAGCTGAGATATAGGAAGCAAAGTCATAAGAATGATAAGAATTTCAGCCAAAACAGCTGCTCTCCATGAGTTGGCAGGTCTTTGGGTTCCAATGATGCCAGCCAGCTGGTTCAGTCAGTCTCCCTTCCAAACACAGCTGTCTGAAAACAGCATTATCATATTTTCCCCAAGGGACTGAATTTTCAGCAAAATAAACTGAATCACTACATAGCTGAGTTCATTTGGGGCGAGGATGTAAGGAGAGAAGGGAACTTAAAAACAACAAAAACCCCCTAGCTTCCAGAGGAGCTTGAACCCCCAAAATAAGTACCAGTGCTACACATGTCACCAGGATCCCTCTGAAGGATCTCCGAGGAAAGAAAAGAGAAACTATGCTTGTTGCTGAGCTCAAGGACCACAGTGCTAAGACCTAAGCACAGACCTAAGAGGCTCTCTCCCACTTCGTTCTGCGCCCCAACAATCCAGCCAGGGCTGCTCCTAGGTGGCACCCTGTGCACCAGTAACACTGGCACTTGCTCTTTTATATGAGTGTCTGCACCTGCCAGTCACTGGGCTAGGTCAACTCAGTGCAGCCAAGCAAGAGGACCATTCCACAAGGAGAGACTTCCTGAACCACATGGCCCAGCAGGAGAGGGGCTTGGATAGAACCCTAGACCTGCAGTTTCCAACAACTCCCCTCCCCATCTCCACAGTAGTTCTCAGCATTCAGCTCATCTTCTCCAGCCAACCTATACTACCAAAGCTGCTGCCCAAACCCACAAGTACAGATTTCAACAAATAATGATGTCTCTTAACACCCTTCTGCCTCTGGCCTTAAGTACAGCACGTTCTGCAATTCCAAGCAAAATATATCTGAAAATGAATTCAGACTAAGTGATAAGCCCCCACCTCCTATGTCTGGCTTCCAAATTTTGTCTTTCTTTTTCTAATGAGCTACTGAAAATGAGATCCTTGTACAACCACAATAAGAAAAATGATAATGCATATGCAGCATTTTCATTTCAACTGTCACCAGAAAAGTGAGCATTTCCTCTTTCCTAAAAACTGTACTAGATGCTAGAGAAACAAAGAAGAGTGAGTCGTGAGGAAGGGCTACCGATTTAAACAGAGGAGTGGAAAATTGCTTCCCAAACTGTGTTTATACACTGATAAATAGGAGGAGACATGGGAATTACATTCTGCTTATTGGCTGTTCTCTCTAAAAGGAAAGCTATTGGAGCATACTAGAATCATTCTCGTTCTAGAAGACGGAGATTTTCTCCATGGGCCAGAGCTATAGTCCTGAGGTCTAGCTCTCTGGGCCTCAGTGCAAGCCAGGCCCAGGCTTTTGAAGAACTTGGACAGGGCTATTTTCAGGATCAAATGGACACATGTGCAAGTGGGCCTGCTATGAAATGTGGAGTGCCAGACATAGGACTATCATCATTATTATTACACTTTTTTTTGAGGCACAAGGGCGTGCAAATCAGACCAATTCAGAACAGAAGGTACAAACTTTCACTAAGGAGTCTGGGCAATCATTCCCCAAACTACTGTTGTTCATTTAACTCTGAAACTTGAATACATACAAGTTGTTTAAAGGCTGCTCACTGTTGAGCCAACTTCTCAGCCAGGCCAAGAGATGCCTGCGTGCTAAAAGTGAGCTGGAATTCTAATGAGCATTCAAATGATTCACAATTTTGCTGTTACTCCAATCCTAATTTGTTTGGAAGGGATGACTTCAAGAGAACCCTGTGCAGTTTCTTTCATTCTAATGAGTAGAATCAGTGTACCAACATCTCTGCCGAACAATGGAAGTAGGAGCTCATGTAATCTCTGAGCAATAGATTTATAGAGCTCTACCAGGTAGCTGAACAATTTACTCATCCCACAGAGACTTTCCAAATTAACACAAAAGCAGGGGCGTGGGGCAGTTATTCTATACCCCAAGTGTCCCATTAATTCTGTTCAAATTTACAAACGAATTCTGACTTAGGAATGCCTTGGAAATAAAAGTTATTAGGAAGGCTCTAAGCCTTCTGGAAGCTAACAGGGAAAAGTGAAATCGCTCAGTCGTGTCCAACTCTTTGCGACCTCATGGACTGTAGGCTACCAGGCTCCTCTGTCCATGAGATTTTCCACGCAAGAATACTGGAGTGGGTTGCCATTTCCTTCTCCAGGAAATCTTCCCAACCCAGGGATTGAACCCAGGTCTCCCGCATTGTAAGCAGACACTTTACCGTCTGAGCCACCAGGGAGGAGAAGACCATAAAATAAAAATATGATTCTAAATAACTCTCCCAAGTGTCCCTAATTCCAAGATTCCTACAAGTGGAACGAGCAGGCCTGTAAGTACCAAGCTACTGTTCCCTCCAGCTGAGCGGCGGAACGGTCGGGGATGGCGTGGCCTCTGCGGTCACACAGAGCCGGGCTAAGTCAGGACCAACATCACCAACACAGACAGTGGCATCACTGCCGTGTAACGGACGCAACTGATACGCGGAATCTAAAAGAGTGGTATTGTACAAATGAACTTATTTACAAAACAGAAACAGAGTCACGGATACCTAAAACAAACTGTGGTTACCAATGGGGGTGTGGGGTCGGGAAGAGTGGGGAGACTGAGACTGACATACTACTAGACAGTCTATCCTGAAGGAGATCAGCCCCGGGGTCCACTGGACGGACTAGTGCTAAAGCCGCAACTCCAGCACTTGGGCCACCTCATGCGAAGAGTCGACTCGTTGGAAAAGACCCTGATGCTAGGCGGGATTGGGGCAGGAGGAAAAGGGGACGACAGAGGATGAGATGACTAGATGGCATCACTGACTCGATGGGCATGAGTTTGAGGAAACTCTGGGAGTTGGTGATGGACATGGAGGCCTGGTGTGCTGCGATTCATGGGGTTGCAAAGAGTCGGACACGACTGAGCAACTGAACTGAACTGATACAGAAAATAGATAACTAACAAGAAGCTACTGTATAGCATAGGGAATGTTACTGAATACTCTATAATGACCTATATGGGAAAAGAATCTAAAAAAGGGTGGATATATGCATAACTGATTCATTTTGCTGTATAGCAGAAACTAACACAACAACGTAAATCAACTAGACTCCAATAAAAATTAATTTTAAAAAAACCTAAGCATCATCCAAAAAATAAATATATAGGAAAGGAATTTGCCATCATTTTATGGGGAGAAAGCAAATAGGCATTGGAGCCATACAGACTTGGGTTCAACTTGGGCAAAAGCCTTAACCCCTTTGAGCTGTCTCCCTTGTGTAAATGGGAATCTAACACCTATCCTGCAGAGATACTGAAAAGTTAATGCATATT